ACATTATTGGTGGGTGGCAGGAAGTGATAAGAGCTGATAAGATACCACAAGGGGCCTTAAAAAGAGTGAGTTACCTAATTCATAACACCGGCCACAGCAGCGATGGGACGTTGATTTCAAGAAGTTAGATAGGGGGCAGGATGGGAACATTATTGGTGGGTGGCAGGAAGTGATAAGAGCTGATAAGATACCACAAGGGGCCTTAAAAAGAGTGAGCTACCTAATTCATAACACCGGCCACAGCAGCGATGGGACGTTGATTTCAAGAAGTTAGATAGGGAACAGGATGGGTACATTATTGGTGGGTGACAGGAAGTGATAACAGCTGATAAGATACCACAAGGGGCCTTAAAAAGAGTGAGCTACCTAATTCATAACACCGGCCACAGCAGCGATGGGACGTTGATTTCAAGAAGTTAGATAGGGGGCAGGATGGGAACATTATTGGTGGGTGACAGGAAGTGATAACAGCTGATAAGATACCACAAGGGGCCTTAAAAAGAGTGAGCTACCTAATTCATAACACCGGCCACAGCAGCGATGGGACGTTGATTTCAAGAAGTTAGATAGGGGCAGGATGGGAACATTATTGGTGGGTGACAGGAAGTGATAACAGCTGATAAGATACCACAAGGGCCTTAAAAAGAGTGAGCTACCTAATTCATAACACCGGCCACAGCAGCGATGGGACGTTGATTTCAAGAAGTTAGATAGGGAACAGGATGGGTACATTATTGGGTGACAGGAAGTGATAACAGCTGATAAGATACCACAAGGGGCCTTAAAAAGAGTGAGCTACCTAATTCATAACACCGGCCACAGCAGCGATGGGACGTTGATTTCAAGAAGTTAGATAGGGGCAGGATGGGAACATTATTGGTGGGTGACAGGAAGTGATAACAGCTGATAAGATACCACAAGGGGCCTTAAAAAGAGTGAGCTACCTAATTCATAACACCGGCCACAGCAGCGATGGGACGTTGATTTCAAGAAGTTAGATAGGGGGCAGGATGGGAACATTATTGGGGGTGACAGGAAGTGATAACAGCTGATAAGATACCACAAGGGGCCTTAAAAAGAGTGAGCTACCTAATTCATAACACCGGCCACAGCAGCGATGGGACGTTGATTTCAAGAAGTTAGATAGGGGCAGGATGGGAACATTATTGGTGGGTGACAGGAAGTGATAACAGCTGATAAGATACCGCAAGGGATCTTAAAAAGAGTGAGCACCTAATTCATAACACCGGCCACAGCAGCGGTGGGACGTTAATTTCAAGAAGGTAGATAGGGGACAGGATGGGAACATTATTGGTGGGTGACAGGAAGTGATAACAGCTGATAAGATACCACAAGGGGCCTTAAAAAGGAAGGGTCACCAGCTCCATAGCGCGGACCACAGCGACGACGGGATGTGGGTTCCAAGAAGTTAGATAGGGGCAGGATGGGAACATTATTGGTGGGTGGCAGGACGTGATAACAGCTGATAAGCTGATAAGCTGTTATCACGTCCTGCCACCCACCAACTGATAAACTTCAGCACCGGTGCCCAAGGAACAATGGTTAGAGGCTTCGTGAGTCAAGTATTCTATCCCTTAGCGATATGGTTACGACCGCTAAGCTCTCGAGTTTCGACGAAAATTAAAAGCCCTGGAAGCTGCTCAACGGAAGTACTAGGATGTGAGAAATGTGAGGATATATCACCATGATATCGATGTTATTACCATCGAAAGTCTTTCAACCGCTAAGCTGTCCTATTTCCAACGGATGGTGAGTGTTTCTTAGAAATGTGATAAGCACCAGACATTAGCAAACGTTCATTAAATAGGAGAATCATAATGAAATAGGCCGTATTCTAAAAAATTGTAATCGGGCGAAGTGTTCGGGGTCAATACAGGAATCCTGTCAGCGCAGTACCATTACCATAGGTTCAACCATACGCGCAGTAGTGCGCGTCAGCCAAGCTTGTAATTGATAACGCGCAATCAGTCGGGATGATGGCAGCGATCACCTATCTACAAGGGAGGTCGTTCAGGCCGTGGTGAGCTTTTTCAAAACGGTTTGTTGCATGTTGTAGGGGTCCATGCAAGGACCACACAGATGGGGTTCATTTTTGCTAAACGGTACTGGGAATGTCAAAAAAAGGTCAAAATAATTCGAAAAGAATGGGCTTTTAAACCACCTTATTCGCCTCTGTTCTAGCTGTAGCGTTGACAGGGTATAGTATGTGAGGTATTCTTTGAGCAGGCATGAAAAACAACGCAAAATAAGGTCGAGATCCAAGTACTTTACTTGGCATGTGGTGAGCTCACTGGAGTTTTCTGGTCATCTGCGCTTTCTCTTTTCACTAGGTCTTGCATCTCAACTGCCGCAGCGGCAGATGGTGTGGTGGATAGCGCGTTGGGCTCTCAGTCATTAGGTTTATGGATCGGATCCTTCTGGCGACACGCTTTTTGCATTTTTCAGATTTCTCGCTTCTTGTATTCCTGTATGCCCCATAATGTGTATGACCCGGATATACGCCATTTAAAGACACATTCCATGCGGGAACGGTTCACAACGGGGCCTCACTCAATTATTACGCTCGCGAAATACTATCGAAGAAACTCTCTATGAAACTTGGGTTACGGCGGTTATCCGATGCTCTGATCATGAACATGACACTCATTTTTGAAATATGGCGCAATGTGTCGCCAATTTGGTGCAAAGGCTTTCTCGTACTAACATCATTGTCAGTCTGCGCGGCGGGGCTATTTAGCGCCATACTGGCCCCAGATGGCCTCCGCGCCAAAAATAAGTATCTGAACCGTGATCAGGACCATCAACTACCCCTACGTATAGAGTTACGCCGAAAAAAATTTTCCCGAGCTTTTGTGTTATGATTGCCTGCCATGTCTCCAGCTAGTGACCTCCAGCTAGTGGCTATCAGTCCCCCCCCCCGCCCTCCCCCAGAAGTCGTTATCCAACATCGTTAATAGGGAGCTTTTCATTCCCTAGTATGCAGACGCATAATTAGCAACTACAAAATTCAAAAAAGAAGTGACACGCAAGCACTGCACACCTTGCACTTTTGATGTGAGGGGAACGAGATCCTTTTCCGGGCAGGAGGTAACGAGTTCTTTGTCGAAAGCACAGACGGTAAAAGTGGAGGAAGTTTCAGGATGTTCGTTTAGTGACTCCGAAGCTAGCACGATGTTCTATGAAGACCTACTGAAGTTGAGGTGCAAGAAATGAAAAATTTCTGGCGGTTCGTATGCCAGAGAGGATACTTAACGGAGGGTTCGCCTGTCACTGCCATCCAAATGGTCAGCTCCATGACCACCAAAAAACTCGAAAAAAATTTTCTGCTGAAACCTCGTATACAGGGGTAATCAATGGCCCTGATCACGATTCTGACAATTATTTATGGCGCCGACGTGATCTGGGGCCAGCGTGGCGCTAAATGGCCACTGCGAGCGCGAAGGGATGCCGCACAAACCCCCAAAGAAACAGCAGTTTACCTCACTGGATGCCAAGTAAAGTACTTAAATTTCGACCTTATTTCGCGTTGTTTTCCATGTCTAGTTAAGGAACACTTCATAAATTATATGTATTCCGCTTTACAGCTGAAAGCAGAGGCGAATGAGATGATAAAACTTGCGTATTTTGAGCGATTTGTTTTTATTCCTTTTTTGGCATTCCCAATAGCGTTTAGCAAAAATGAACCCCATCTGTGTGGTCCTTGTATGGACCCCTACAACATGCAACAAACCGTTTTGAAAAAGCTCACCACGGCCTGAACGACCTCCCTTGTAGAATGGTCACCCGCGTTCGGTTGACTTCTTCTGCCAGTGGTGATCGCTCAGTGGTCGAGATGGGAAGGAAACAACGGTGGTTGGAACACCGCGGGTAAGCTGACGCTACGCCTCATGATACGGCCCAGGTGATTGCAAAGATACAAGTGCACAATTTGGTCGAGCGCATCAGCTGCATCTATCAGTTACGCAGCGTTCAGACTTCGCGATGACCCACGAAGACGGCTCCCATCGGATAGACGCTAATACAGCCATTGACGAATTGGTGAGCGCCCTGGCGACCAGACTACATGGCTAGGCCATGACCACCGTCCAGTTTCACAAACTCTCTTGATATCCAAGCAATGCCAATCGATTCTTATCTGTGGCTACGTTCGGCATCAATAGGACTGAAGCGCGGCGCAGTTAGTCGACGGGGGGGCATTTTGCACTTTCGCTCCTCCCATCAACGTGGCACTTCCGCTCCTCCCATCCACGTGGCACTTTCGCTCCGGCCCTAGTTCCGGTTTACTAGTCTCGCTGTGGACAAAACCTACTACTCCTGTAAAACTGCCGAGCACACCTCCAATTCATGCAAATACCTGTCAACTCTTGTAAGCTCATGGAAAGTTAACGAGTGTTGACAGGTAATCTTTACAAGGATTGACAGGTGGACTCTATAAACTTTTGCCTTATATCATTTCTTGGCTTAACAAGATCTCACAGGTGTCCACTTGATGGCTGCCACGTGGATGGGAGGAGCGAAAGTGCAAAATGCCCCCCCCCCGTCGGCTAACTGCGCCCTGAAGCGCTGTAGTAATTGCTGCGCGTTGCGGCGTGTCAAAAAGTCTAAACGTTGCCCTACGAATGAGCTCGGTACATCTAGTCTTCACGAGTTCAGTCTAGTACTAATTGATCATATGAATCGACCATCTCTGAACGTTCTCCCCAAAACTTCGGAATGGTAGGAAATCAGACTGTGCCGGTGTTGACGCAACAGCACCAGTATTAAGAGCTGATCTCAACCGCACTGCGCATGGTAGGTTGCAATCTGTGCATAAACTGGAAATGGGATACATAGACGTGGTGCACACTCTGTTTAGACGTCGCCTGCAATGGGCCTATCGCGATTTCCATTTGAAGCGACTGTCATCATGGCCAAAGCCTTATGACAATTTTATCTAAACGGCAACGTCGTATCCAAAGCGTGACCGCCTATACGTTCGAATGACTTATGGAGCCACATCCGCTACATCATCACCGAGTTACGGAGTGTATCATGGGCAGCTGGCCGCCACGTCGCGGAGCCAACATACGTGCGGCTCGCAAGCTACTTCTGTGAGCGCTTTTATTCAGGTACTCGCTGTTGACTCAGAACATTCGGAAAATGTCAACATTGACCTTCGACGAGCTGCTCAAGTGCTTCGGTAAGTCACGTAGCAGTACTCGTATTAGTGGATTTCATACAGGGGAGCTTCGAATGAGTTAAACAGGAGAGAAGAGAAAAAAGTCGTAAACTAGTGCAGAATAGGAACAACACATCAAATTTATCATTTTACATATACTTTTACACATACATATAAAAGTGCACTCACGCTGGTCGTGTGGACAGAGCTGAGCGTACCGTTGTGCTTTCTTCATTATCGCGGTCCTCCTCAATGCTAGAAAGCGCCAATGGTTACACTAGTTCGACCTACCATCAGGCGTGAAATGCGGCTGCCTCGTCTTTCAATACATTAGCTGCTTTCAGTTATCTCTCGAAGCCAGGTCACGATTTCGGGAAATTTGGAACAGGAAATAAGGTTGGTCAGAAATAGTTCACACGGAAAATAGCAACTTCCCATTTCTTGATTTCCTTTTACAGCTCCCTTTCAGAAAACACTACTGGACGATCCACAGGAGAAAGGTATTCATCCTCGTGAGGCATTGCTCGAATTTTCACAAAGAAGTGGTACAGTTCTAACATGTGAGTAATCTCATCTTGTCTTAATACTGACGTATAAAATCAGATGAAGACACACTCCATGCTGGTGGTACGGGCGTGGCCGGGCCTACCACTGTACCCTGCCCGTTGATGTGCCATCCTCTTCACTGTCTTCGGAATAGAGGGCATCACCGAGAAAAGCGGAACGGTGGGCCCCACTCCGCCCATACGCCAAAATACTCTCGACTTGATCTTATCTTTGGCTTCTCATAGTATGTCGTTATGTATTGTTGACTCGGAACCACTGGATGTCATGGAGTCCACCCTGGCAGATTTGGACTTTGGAGCGATTGAAAACAAGGGTGTGGAACGAAAAGAGTGGGAAAGTCCATACGGCGAAGAGCAACTGCGTAAACGTATTGAGGTGAG